CACTGTACCAGTCTTGAGGAGGGCCGGTGCCCAGCATCCATCCTGGGTGAGGGAATCCATTCGTTCAGGCTGTGGAAGCCTCATGGAGCTGCAGTGACTGTGCGGTGCAGCGAGGGCTCTGCAGGGGGGGCGTTGGGAGCCACGAGACTCACCCATTTCTCCTTGGGAATCCTTGAATTCCTGTTGTTGAGCCTCGATCTTCATTGAGGGTCAGTCATCACCTGTTTAAGTGTTCAATTATTAATAAGCTGAAGTCTGTGGAAGGCCATAATGGCCCTGCTTTAAGTGGTTCGCTGTTCCCACAGCTCACCACGCTGTCTCTGCCTCTGCCGCCATCTTGGATCTCTCTGCATTTCATTATCTTTAATAGTGCTATCTAGCCTAGTGGCAAGAAGCTGTACTGAAATCCTGAAGACACACGATTTGAGATCACCAGCTGCCCTGGGGGAGAAGGATGAGTAATCTCCTCCCATATGGCGATTAACTGTCTCTGAAAAACCACCAGAGGGTCAGCTATGGGTCGGTTATGACTCTATGGTACACAACAACAGCAACAAGTTTGAAGTTAGATTGCTGTTATTGTTATGTGCCATTGAGTCACCTGCAACTAATAGCGAACCTATGTACAACAGCCTAACTAAATTCTGCCCTATCCTGTGCCAATATCACTATCTCTTACACACCTACCCCCATTACCCCAGTCACTGAATCAATCCATCTCATCGAGGGCCTTCCCCTCCTGTGCTGTCCCTCCACCCTACCAAGCATGATGTCCTTCTCCAAGGACTGGTCCCTCCTTGCAACATTTCCAAAGTATGTCAGATAAAGATCCAGAATCCTTGCTTCTAAAGAGTAGCCTGGCTTCACCCTCTGTTGGACAAACCTCTTCATTTTCTTAGCAGTCGATGGTATATTCAATACTCTTCTCAGTGCCACAGCTCAAAGGCATCAATTCTCCTTCTATCATCCCTAGTCATTGTCCAGCTCTCTGATGCATAACAAGTGATTGCAAAGATTATGGTCTGTATCAGGCACACCTTAGTCTCCAGACTGACATCGTTGCACTTCAGTACTTTAGAGAGGTCTCTGACTGCAGACTTTCCCATCGCAATTAGCCTTTTAATTTTCTGGTTGCTGGTGCCAATAATTCTGACTGTGGAGCCAAGCAAACTAAAACTGTGAACAATTTCAATCCCTTCACCATCCATCATGATGTTGCCAATCAGACCAGTGGTGAGAATCTTTGTCTTCTTGACATTGAACCTCAGTCCATACTGAAGGCTGCAGTCCTTGACCCTCTGCAGCAAGCACTTCAGGTCCTCCTCAGTTTCAGCAAGCAGGGTTGTGTCATCTGCATAACGCAGATTGTTGGTTATTCTTCCTGCAATCCTGATGCCATACTTAGCCTCCTAGTCTAAAATAATGCCATCATTCCTTAGATCCTCAATCATTTATGGTATTAGAAGTGCTGGATCATTTATGCATAAGGTGCAAAGAATGCCAGATTTTTCTTTGGTCGTAACCTTCTATCTAGCATCGTTTATTGGTTATTTGAGATATAAAATGAATGACAACCTCGTAGGAGCAATAGTTAGAAAACACGCCACGGGTAGGAAATGATCTTAGCTACTCCTTGAATTGGGCCTGGGATAAAAAAACAATTCATCCAAGGAGAAGGTGAATTTATAATAAAGTTCAATAGTAGTGAGAATTAGACACATTTACAAATTTCACTCATGTGAAATATAAATTAATGTGCCTCTTTATTCTCCATAGCCAGTGTTAAAGATCTACCAAGATCACAAGAAGCCAGAATACAAAGAAAGAATCTCTTTGGGAGTTCTAAAACCTCCAGTGCCCACGAGAAAAAGTTACACTGAGTCTGCTCAGTTTCCTGAATCTCAAGATGATGTGGAGAAAAAGCAGGTGTAGTATTCAAATAATTGATTATATAGCATTATAAGTATATTTTAATACATAAAAAAGCAGCAACATTTTTATCACCTTGCATAACAGGCTTGGGGAATATAATATTTCTTAGTATTCTCTATATAATGCAAACTTGGACTGTAAAGGAAAATCATAAAGGGGATTTTCAACATCTGTACATTGTCTCATTGTCTTCTAACCTTTTCTTTGGTGTTAAAAAAACTACGTGTGTTTTTTAAAAAAAAACAAACAAACTAGGTGGTATTTTTTTATGTTGCAAAAGTCATGTGAAATTTTCATCATTACTTTTAAAAAAGGCAGTCATTAAAGGCCTTGTGGAAAGCAATAAAACACAGAAGCTTTGAAAGACAAAGCTTGAAAAGCTTTGAAAGAGTTTTTGTTGCTCATGAGAATTATTGTGAAGACGGTTGCCTGTAAAGAAAGGCCTATCACTAGAGAAAAGGTTTGGTTTTCTAATAGCAATTCCTTGAGATAAATTTAGAATAAAAATGTAACAGTGATTTTTTTTTTAGTAACAAAGAAAGCAGGAAGAAAACTTAAAGGCTTCTTATAATTAAGAAATAATGACATCAAATTAGTTTGTGTATCAGAGAGGAATATTATAAGTGTTTTACTTTATATAATATATGCCTTAAAATGAGAAAATAAAACAAACCCTTATCCAAGACCTTGAGAATATGTTAGTGCATAAATTTAGTTGTTGTTATTGTTAAGTGCCATCGAGTCATAGGCGACTCATAGCGCCCCTATGAACGAAAGTCCTCAACACTTGCATTACTTTCATCCTTTCTCCAGATTCATAAGGTTTCCAGTTGGAAAGTATTATGGAAGTGGGTGCTACTCCTGCTTCCAAGCTTGTTTTAATCAGAGAGCACCACCAAACACTGTCAGCCATGGGTAACCATTGTCGTGTTTGACACATCAGTGTCACAGTGTTCAGCTTCACAACAACCACAAGTTACTTCTGTACGGCAAGTGGACACACCAGGGCTATACGACCTAGAAGAATGTTTGACCAAAAACAATTACAAACAGGCCCGAGAGCCGCAGATTAGAGTCACGCTACCTTTGACTTGGTAGCATCACTTTCAGTTCACTAAGCCAACTGGTCACTCTCTGTGTTGTTAAGTGCCATCGAGTTGTAGGCAACTCATAGCGACCCTATGAACAAAAGTCATAAGCAAAATCACATCGTCTGCTGAGTGTAGTGAGGCTGGTCCTGACTCTCAGTGACCCAGTGCCTGCAGACAAGGTAGAAACTACCTGATTGACCTGTTCTCACAGCCTTTGCTGTGCTTGAGCCCATTGTAGCTCAGTGTGATAATCCACCTAGTGATTTAAATGATCTGAAATATATGTGCCGATGAAATGATGTAGTCCCCTTACTGAAGAGATATTTTACTTAGAATGCAGAAAAAGTTTTAAAAGGATAATTCAGTAAGAGGAAATCCAGTGTTTTTTGTTAAACCGTTACGACTCCATGCTCGTAAATATGCTTTGGTGGCCTAATCTGTAGGGAATTGCACTGCTAACTGAAAGCGGTACCTCTTAGGAGGTTCGAATGCACCAGTAGCTTCTCAGAAAGAAGATGTGCAGACTGTGTCTGAAACACAATCTCTGAAACTCAGTGGAGGGTCAGCTCTGAGTCTGTTCAGAATTGATGGCAATGAGAGAGATCAAGATCATCCTTATTGTAACATAGTGACAGACAATGTGCATTTTTTTCTGTTTCTGAGTATTTTCAGGAGTACCAACTGTTTCACATGAGAGAACACCACAGCTGCATCCCTAGCCAATCAGTGAAAGAAGCACTTTATTTTGTTAATTCAAAGATGTGTTTCCTTCCATTTTTGTAGCATTAGACACAGCACTTGAACTTCTAGGCTTCTCCTTTCATATTTATGTTTTGATAGGGCGTATTTCATTGGAGACTGAGAATACAAAGTGTTTAAAGAAGTTGTTTCACAGAGTTTGTGATAATCAAGTTTACGGCAATCAACCCTATCAAAAAACCCTATCAGGTATACTAAAAGTTACACCAATAGGAATTAAATTAAATCATTTTTCAACAAAGCCTGTATACTATTTTTTAAAAAAAACAAACCAAACAATCAAGCAACACTACTGTTGAGTCAGTTTGAACTCATCATGACCCTGCAGTCCAGTGTAAAACTACCCGAAGCATTTCCAAAGCTGGAAATCTTTCAAGAGACACACTGACTCAACTTTCTCCCAAAGACTGCCTGTTAGGTTGAATTGCCTGCCTTTAAGTTAATAGGGAGCTCTGGTGGTTACAAGTAAGAAGTTATGTTGTCGACCCAAAGGTATGTGGTTTGAATCCATCACCTGCTCTGTAAGAGAAAGATGAGCAGTCTCTTCCTGTGATTTACTGCCTTTGAAAACCTGTTGGAGGGTCAGCTATGGGTTGGTTCCAAATCAACAATATGCAATAAGTTGATAGCCAAATCCTTATCCACTGCACCACCATGGCTCCTTATATTTATAATGTTATTTTTATTATTGAGTCAGAACTGACTCATAGCCGACCCTCAGTGGGTTTTCAGCAGCAGTAAATCTCACATGAGGAGATTGCCCATCCTTCTCCCTGGAAGGAGCTGGTGAATTTGAACCTCATGGCATTAAAGCACAGCTTTTTTTTTAATTGGTTTGCTTACAGAGATCAATATGCATTGCATTTCATCCTATTCTTCATTCAAACCGTGTTTCAGACAATCATTCTCATGCATCTTATTTCATAAGATTAATCACCATTGGACCTTGCCCATCATTACCCCCTATTTTTTTGCCTGAATCCTTCCCCTTTCCTTGCCCCACCCACCAAACTGTGCAACCCTGTGGTTTCACCTCTACCTATACTTACTCCTCTGCTCTCACACCTTCGACCCCTGTGAGTTCTTATACATATTTTAATAGTTGTCCTATTTTTACAATAATGGTCTTATGCAGCATAGCTTCTTATCACTAGGCCACCAGAGCTCCATGGAATATAGATTTTTCAGTAAGGTTCTTAGGCAATTCATATGCATATTTGAATTTGAGAGGCCCTGGTGTAGTAGTTAAAGAGCTCACCTACTGATTGAACCATCAGGGGAAAAGATGGACAGTCAGCTACCTAAAAATTTACAACCAAGAGAAACTACAGGCAGTAGTTCTGTTGTTGGTGTCTGGTGCCATCGAGTCAGGTACAACCCACAGTGACTCTGTGAGCAGTGACGTTGAACCCTGTCCTATCCTGTGCCATCCTCACCATCACACACTTGAGCCCATTGACAGAAAATGCCAATCCATCTACTTGAGGGTCTTCCTCTTTTAGACTGACTCCCCTTTCCCGAGCATGATGTTGTTCTCCAGTGGCTGACCTCTCTTTACAACATGCCTGAAGTATGTGAGGTGGCAGCAGTTTGACTCTACCCAATTGGGCTGCTGAGCCAGGGACTACTTGATGGCAGAGGGCATACAAAATAGGCAATACATAAAAGGTTAATAAAATATATCCTTCTATATGGCTATTGCACAGAGATTGCAAATGCTTGATGTAAGCATTGCTCTCACAGGTTTATTAGGAATTCTTATAATACCTGTGTAAGACCATGTTCATTGGAATAAAGTGAGATTCTCACAAGGAGCTTAGGAAGTGGAAGCCACACTCGGTGAATGTAGAGCCACCAAGCCAAAAGAGTGATGATGTTAACTGGATGTAGAAAACATTGATATGGGTATGTTGATATGTGCATCGATATGTCTGTTGAGGCTGTTTTTCTTGAAGGAGCTGAATATACTTAAGGAAGGAGTACTGACATTGCTTAACAATGTTTTGAACAAAATATTCAAAAATTCACTGCTGGTGGAGTGTAAAATAGTGTAACTGCTATGGAAGGCAATTTGGTGCTTTGTCAGAAAGTTAAAAGTAGAAATACCATTTGACCCAGCAATGTCACTACTAGGAATGTACTCTAAAGAAGTCATAATTGCCTTTCAAACAGATATATGTACATCTGCATTTATTGCTGTATCGTTTATAATAGCAAAGAGATGGAGGCAAGCCAAGTGCCCATCACCAAATGAGTGGATAGAAAAACTATGGTATATTCATACGATGGAATATTATGCAGCACTGGAAAACAATGAACTCATAAAACATTATACAACATGGGTGACCCTGCAGGACATTATTCTGAATGAAATATTTCAATCACAAAGGGATAAACACTGCATAGCACCACTGTTATAAAGCAGGTCTGACATGAGGGTTTGGGAGGAGTAGAGGATAAGAATGGATAGATAGGAAAATTGCTCCAGAGGATGTCCTTGGCTGTAATGGCCACAGAAGTAGATCTTCAGGTCTTTGTCCTATGGAGCCACTGAGTGGGTTCAACCCGGTAAATTTTCAGGTAGCAGCCAAGCACATAACTGTCTGGACCACCAGCATCCTGTGTTGTGCACACAGCCCCACTGGCCTTGAGCAGATTCCAACCATGCGGACCCGTGGGACAGAGAACTGCCTCGCATTTCCAAGGCTGTACGTCTTCATGGAAGCCGACCTTCTCCCACAGTAACTGGTGTGTCAGGACTGATGACCTTTCAGTGAACAGGCCAACACTTAACTGATGTGTCACCATGTGTCTCATGCATGGGAACAATTTTTTTCATAGAAGCTGAGTCAGAATCTACTCATAGCTGACCTTTCCTTGGGTTCCTGAGGCTGTAATCTCACAGCTCATCTTTCCCCCTCAGAGCCACTGGTGGATTTTAACTGCTAGAAGGGCACTGCCACTAGGTCAATAGTGCAACTTCATACAAACTAGATCTTTGTAAAAGGAAGAAGAGAAGGCAAGCAGGCACTTTTACAGCTAGCCCTAACCAAATGCCTTTCTCTAATTTAATGACAAGAGCTTTATTTTGCTCCTCTATTTTCAATCCCAGAGGCTGAAACTCCATGGAGGCATGAACTTGACTGCTGCAGGGCAGGCCAGTTCTGCAGAGTGTAGCTCTCTGCTCTGTTCTCTAGCCCTTAAGTCCTCTGAGAAATGGAGACTGCCCTTGAACTCTACCTATCACCAGAGACTAATTTACAATACAATACAGTGTATGGTAGGGAGCTTGGGTGGCCTAGTGGAAGGGAAATTGTGCTACTCTACCAAAGGCTGGCAATCCAAATCCACCATCTATTCCACAGGAAAGAGGTGGGTAATCTCCTCCCCCTCAGAAAGTTTCAACTCTATGGCAATGAATGAGTGATTACCTACCAAACCTCTCTCCAAACCTGCCAGGTGTCACAGGTCAAGACCACCCCCAGTGTCTAGCCTGGTGTAGAGCATGAGGAACTGTGAGCTCTGGTGACCTGTGCCCAGAAATCCCATCTTCTCAAATGTGCTTCCCATATAGTTCACCCTCATCTGCTTTGTTCTTTACCATCTCTTGAAAATATTCCAGTTCCATCTTACATGCCAACCTCATGGCAGCATTGACAGCACGGATCACACCTTTGCTGGAAACATCAAGCACTCTTAGGGAGAAGTGCTCTCCCTGCTTCCAAATACATTTTCATCTTCTCCACTTTACACAACCTGCGGGACTAGAGAAGCCCCTCCAACTTAGGGAACTATACACATAACTGCCCTCCTGTTCCCAAGGCCCTCCTTGGGCCTCCCTGGAATTGCAGACAAGAAATCAAGATTCTAAGGGTTCTAATCACGCACTCCATCTGCTCCTGCAGAGACCTGCCCTGACAGCCTCAGTGTGGCCCGGCAAAGACTCCATGTCCAGATTCCTGCCTATGCTGGTCAGCGTGGCCTGTGTTGGACTTTAATGCTCACCATCTCACCAGAGAGAGAAACTAGACAAATATGTGAGCAGTAGGGTCCACACATCTGGGCAGAAAGAACCTAACCTAGATCCCATGGTTTTTTGTTTTGTTTTGTTTTTTACAGAGGTTTTGGATTTCCATTCATTCATTGCCGCAATTTTCTCCCTGCCCACATGGAATTGAGAAGAGTTTGGAATTGACTCAACAATACAGTAATTGTTTAGAAAAAAAAATACTGTTTATGATTGTATCTAAGACAAGATTTTGTTTTTATTTTAAAAAAAACACACTTTCAACATCAAAAATACATCTTACAGTCATTGGCCTATAAAAAAAAATATAATGAGGAAATGACATTGGGTGAAGAATACACAGGAACTGTGTAATTTCTTACAATTACAAATATTTGTTGTTGTTGTTATATGCCATCGAGTTGCCTGTGACTCATAGCAAGCCTATGTACCACACAGCCCTAACCCCTGCTCTATTTTGTGCCAAACCACTGTCTCCGACACACCTAACCCCATTACCTCAGTCACTGAATCAATCCATCTCATAGAGGGTCTTCCTCTTCTGTGCTGTCCCTCCACCATCCCAAGCATGATGTCCCTCTCCAAGGACTGGTCCCTTCTTGCAACATGTTAAAGTATGTCAGATGAAGCTTCAGAATACTTGCCTCCAAGGAGCAGCCTAGTTTAACCCTCTATAATATGAAACTGTTCATTCTCTTAGCAGTCCATGGTATATTCAATACTTTTCTCCAACACCACAGCTCAAAGGCATAAATTCTCCTTCTATCATCCTAACTCGTTGTCCAGCTCTCTGATGCTAGTGATTGCAAAGACCATAGCCTGTATCAGTCGCAACTTCATTGCTCTTCAGTACTCTGGAGAGCAGAATTTCCCATTACAATATGTCTTTTAATTTTCTGGATGCTGGTGCCAAGTGTGTTAATTGTGGGGAGCCAAGCAAACTAAAAATGTTAACAGTCTCATTCTCTTCACTGTCTATCATGATGCTGCCAATTAGCCCAGTGGTGAGAATCTTTGTTTTCTTGATATTGAGCCTCAATCCTTATTGAAGGCTGTGGTCCTTGACTCTGTTATTGTCTCAAAATTTAAAACTTAACTAAAATGTCAGTAAGGAAAAAAAAAGCATCAAACAAGTTCCCATTTTGAAAGGGCACCAGATGAATTACAAGGGGTTGTTGTGTATCATAGTTAATTCTGACTAACTTCTGATAGAGATCCTGTAGAAAGTAGAATTGCTTCAGAGAGTCTCCTAGACAGTCGTTTTGGAAGTGGATTGCTAAATCTCTTCTGCTGGTGAGTTCAAACTGCTGATTCTAAGTTGCAATCAACTAAACAGCAACACCATAACAACAACATATTCAAAAGAGTGACCAAAAAAATGATGTGATTACATTTTTTTCAATGATTGCTAAATAAGTTTAAAGACAACTGTGTAAAAAAAAAAGAATTAAAATGCTGTGCGAATAAAGTGCCTACTCTGAAGATAAAAAAAATGGATAGATAATGAACATTTCACTAGAATAGATGAAGGAAAGAATTGTTTAAAAGGAATATATGATTAAGAGAATAAGAGGTATATTGCAAAGAGGACTGAGGGAGAGGGAGGTAATTGTGCAACAATCAATACATATTTTAAAAACCAAAACAAGTGAACTGGGGTAGGGGGAAGTAAGGGAGGGAGAGGGAGTAACATATGTGCAATAAGGAATAAATGAAAAATCTTACTTTTCTGTAAACTTTCATTGAAATCACAAATAAAATAAAATTAATTTTAAAAAAATCAGTTCCAAGTGCTTGCTTCTGGGATCTAGATATCTCATGCAGTGTGATAATTAGCCCTTTTAAGTAATAAGTTTGTAATGTTTTTATAGCTTCATTTTCTTTGGGTTTTTTCCCTGGAAATTATTTTATTTTAAATGTGGAATGTTTTGTTTTATAGATACAGAAGCCCTCTCTTGATGTGTTCTCTCCCTTTCTACCTAAACTGCCTCGTATCCAAAAGGCTAGCACTGCAGGCTTACCTGAGCACGTTTTTCACGAGCGGGAAGAGGTTATTAAGGCCAACATCCGTGATCCCTTGCAAATCATTAAAATAATCCGTGAAAATGAAAACCTTGGATTTTTTTACATGGTTTCTGCAGTGGCAAGGTCCTCCATTGAATATGACACATATAACCTGAAGTGAGTTCCCTTTTATGAAGCAATTTATTTAGCACTGAAAACTGTAAATAAAATTGCATGCATAATTCATAAGTGATTCTGCACTAAAGGCAGATGTAGTAAAAATGATTTGGGTCCTTTGAAATGATAAATGGACTAGAATCACAATCCTTAATTTTCTATTTACCTTTTCTTTCTTTATGCACATATACCCTCTTTATGGAGTAGTGCACTTCTATTCTGCTCTCATACACTTATATAATATACTGCCATTTGGTTTTAATCTGTTTTTTTCTAACATATTTTGGAACTCCGTGATTACTGAGAAAAGAAAATGGCAATGAATAGCAAATAGATGACACCTGATTTCTTTCACATTCCTTATCAGCCTTCCTTTATAGAGTAGTATCTTCTTTCTGCCATAACACAAGTCCCACAACTGGATTTTGAGAAGTAGATATTTATTTTCTCATAGTTGAGGCGGCTAGAGACTCAAATCCAGGCACAGAATTCGAGAAGACTGTCACTGGGAAGTTCTCTTGCAGTGGCTATGTTAACAGATTTTCCTTGGTGAACTTCGAGTGGCAGTTACCACCTCCTTCATTTGTGCTTGCTTCAATATGCCTCCCCTCTTCTTTTTTTATTTTCTTTTTCCCCCCTCTTCTTTTAAAATCTCAAAAGTGAGTAAGTTTCAGAGAAACCCTATACTCCCCCTTGCTCCCAAATGGTATTATATACACAGTTATAGGGATTAGGATTTCAACATATTTTAGGGGACACTGTTTGATCCATAACAATTAGAAATTGGAATTTTTAAGGTACTCTGAAATTATGATATTATTATTATTATTATTATTATTATTAATGAATAATATTCACATGCATGAAGAGTGCAGCATCCAGATTGGAGGGAGACTCATCAATAACCTGCATTATAAAGATGAAACAATGGTGCTGGCTGAAAGTAAGGAGAGCTTGAAGCACTTTCAGAAGATAAGGGAATGCAGCCTTCAGTATAAATTGCAACTCAATGTTAGGAAAACAACGATTCTTACCACTAGACTGATAGGCAATGTCATGGTGGATGGAAAAGAGATTGAAACTGTCAACGGCTTCATCATACTTGAATCCATAATTAACACCCTTGGTACTAGCTCTCAGGAAATAAGGTGATGCATTTGAACTGGGAAAATCTGCAGTTAAGGATCTCTCCAAATTATTGAGGAGTGGCGATGTTAGTTTGAGAACTTAGATGCATCTGATTCAGGCCATAGTCTTTCATATTGCTTGCTATACATCTGAAAACTGAGCAATGATTAAGGATGACAGGAAAAGAATTGACACCTTTGAGCCGTAGTGTTGGAGAAGAGCACTGAACATTGCATGGATGTCCAAGAGAACAAAGATTATGTCTTAGAGAGGGTACAGCTAGAGTGTTCTTTGGAGGCAAGAATGCTGAGACTTCACCTCACATACTTCACATGTTGATAAGAGGGGTTATTCCTTGGAGGACATGATGCCGGGAAGGGTGGAGTGTCGGGGAAGGTGAGGAAGACCCTCAAGCAAGTGGATTGACATGATGATGGCTGCAATGGGCTCTTGTGTGTCAGAAAGTGTGAGGATGGCACAGGACAGAACAGGGTTCAGGTCTTTTATTCATTAGGGTTACTTACTATCAGTCATACTAGACTCGGAGGCAAGTAATAACAATATGCTTTCTGTATATTGTTTTAAGACAATTTTGTTGCTGGAATAATTAGAAGATCCACATATGTGAGTTTGTAATTGTTTTAATGGTTAGCTCAGTAGGTATAAAACCAAACTCATTGCTGTCAAGTTGAATCTGCCTCAGAGTGACCCTCCAGGCCAACAGAGACCCCTCCACTTCCCATACTGTTTGCAAGGCTGTGATCTTTACAGAGGTTGACGGCTACATTTTCCTCTTGTGGCTGTTAGGCTCGAGCCACCAACCTTTCAGTTAAGGGTGTGCCAGTTAACCTCTTTGCCATCAGTGGTTGTTGGAACAACCTTAGTTTCACCCTAATGCTTGCTTAGTGGTAAAGAGTTCTTCTGCAAACCAAAGATGTGCGGTTCAAATCCACCAACTACTCCACTAGAGAAAGATAGGCAGTCTCCTCACATGTGATTTCCAGCCTCTGAAATCCCACTGCAGAGTCAGCTATGGCCAGTCCTGACTCAGTGGGACATAACAACAAATCTCATTGATCAGTACAGTTAAGTCCCCAGGACTGGATCAGTATGTGGAATTTGTGTTATGTAAATATAAAGGAATTCCACATCACCTTACTGTTTCACCTGTACATTGAATCTCGCTAGGTCCCTGCTGAAGTCACCTGCTTCTGAACTCTTTCCTTCCTGGGCTCCCTCACGCACAGTTCAAAGAGGGCTATGATCAGCTTGGTTTAATTTATGGAAAACAGTATACATTTGAAATTAGCAAACTGATTACAAATGTGATAAAATCTTTTTGAGCTAGCTAGAAGGCCAACTGTTCTTTGAAAGCAGTCTACCCTCTTCTTATGTATTCAACTTAAATATTTTATTGTTTTTGCTGTTGTTGTTGTCGTGCTGTCAAGTCAGTCGCCTGCATCTCATAGCGACCCTATGTATAATACTCCTAAACCCTGCTTTATCCTGTGCCAATCATATTGCCTCTGACACACCTATCCTTATTACCCTAGTCACTTATCTCATTGAAGTTCTTCCTCTTTTGTGCTGTTTCTTTACCTTCCCAAGCATGATGTTCCTCTCCGAAGGATTGGTCCCTCCTTGCAACATGCCCAAGGTATGGCAAATGAAGCTTCAGAATCCTTACCTCCAAGGAACAACCTGGTCTCACCCTCTCTGGAATGAACGTGTTTGTTTTCCTAGCAGTTCATGGTATATTCAATACTCTTATCCATCATCACAGCTCAAAGGCATCAATTCTCTTTTTATCATCCCTCATCATTGTTCAGCTTTCTGATGCATAGCAAGTAATTGCGAAAACTATGGCCTGTATCAGGTGCACCTTAGTCTCTAGATTGACCCTGAAGAGGTCCCTGACAGCTGACTTTCCCAATGCAATTTATCTTTTAATTTCCTGGCTGCTGGTACCAAGATTGCTGATTGTGGAGCCTAACAAATGGAAGCTATTAACAGTCTCAATCTCTTCATTGTCTGTTTTGATGCTACCAATTGGCCCAGTGGTGAGAACTTTTGCTTTGTTGATGTTGAGCTTTAATCCATATTTAAGGCTGCAGTCCTTGACCTTCTGCATCAAGAACTTAAGGTATTCCTCAGTTTCAGCAAAATACTTTATCTTTTCTAGAAATGTTTTATTCCTTCACAATATAAAGTAGTGCAGCTGTTTAATTTTGTATTGAATACATGCCAAATTTATCCCCAATTCATTTATTCACAGAATTGTAAGCTATGAGAACCTCAATAAAAATGACTACTATACTATTAGTCCGAAGGCAGTCACACACATTTCAAGTGGAGAAGTTGAATATATAGAGCTTGAGCGATGGGAACAGGAATATCTATACCACCAAAAACTCACAAAGATTCCTATATTTTCACTTTTCCGGAAATGGAAGGCTTTTTATGTGTGGAAGAAGAATGTCCGCTCCAAGAAAATTACTGCATGCCGAGATTCTCTAAAAATTAATTTGTTCATTGTTAATGAAGTAAGTATTTATTAATTCTCTTTTCAACTAATTCACCCACAGGGGAAAAAAAGACATATGCATATATTACAAGTGTTGGTGTAGACTGTCCCTGAAATAGAATATTTCTTCTTTTTATAGGAGTTCACTATTTCATTCTGGCTTTTTACTTCTCCGGCAGTCTTGTGATATTTCTACACTTTAAGTGGGTTGCAAAATGCAAAGTAGAAGGAAAGAATTGCACAGGGTATCTTTGATTAGATGCAGTCTTAAAGTCTAAAAGTTTGTTTTTGATCAGAGAACTTGTATAGCCTTTGGGACAGGTAGACTAGCTACATTTACCTCTCGGTGTCTTTGACACTCTGGACTTTATGAACTAAGGTAATTTTATGATCTTGTATTCAAGAATCAATACCTCCCAGTATATGTGTTCCTCTATCATAGAAAATGTTACAATATTTGTTTTAGAGAAGGAGGTGATTATGGAAAATAACGGTTGAAAACTTTGTGACTGTATTTGAAATTACACTTTGTGTTAGCAGTTTTCTGCATTAGCCCCAGGAGTGAACTGGAGTCACCATTACTATTATGCTTAGGGTCCTGGTGCCTCACTTGTCTATTTCTGTGATTACAGAGTCATCACTCTATCAGGTCTGAAGACTTCAGTTTGCTTTTTGCTGTTGTATCCTTCACTTGGAACATATTAATTTTGTAAAAAGAGTGCTTTGCACTGATGTGGGAGTGGAGACATATGCCTTCCACTAACTCCACAGGGGACAGTGTCCATCCAAAACACCCACCACACAGAACTGGTTCCTATGAGGCTGGATGTGCCTCATGCTCTCTGCACCTGCTTCCATCAATTCTAGTACCAACCATCCTTCCCAGGGTTTTGTTGCTTCGCTGCTGAATCTGATAGTCCAAAGCATGGCCATGTAGAATGTATGTGTCATACCCATGATGATAGGCTTTATTAGATAAAGTAGCAGGTTATAATTATTCAATCAGGTTAACTTTTTGGGTGTGCAAGCAGATCCATTTACTTTAATCACCAAGGCTTCAGACTCATGATACAAAGCTTTCTTAACCCTGCCTATTATGGTCTTGCCTCCTTCCCCCCTGCCCTGCTTTATCATCCAGCAAACTTGGGCAAAGGCTCTGGCCTCTAGCTCCAGCTCCATGGGTCAGCAGCCATTCTTAGCTTTGTGTCACTTTAGTCTCTAGTTTGTTGCTATTGTCGGCCCCTATTCTATGTTTACTCTCATCTAGGTCCCAGTCTGAGCTGTCCAGGAATCTCTGGTCCAATTGCACACATGCTGGACTCTGATTCTTCTCTCTTGCTAGTAGTGAGATTCTCATTTGCTTTCACAGAACTTGCTGAATTTAAACCGAGTGTGATGGCAAGGCTGACCAGTCCCCTCATCAGTAGTCTACAAACTTGTTTTCATGTTGCCCCTAAAAGGTGCTGTTTACCTCATTCACATTAGTCTAGTGTCACGCAGCCATGTGGTGAAAGTCAAAACTAAGTAAGTCATTTGCACAGTTGAACCCTTTACACTATAGTCTAGAAGACTAACTATGCCAGACATTCACGAAAGGAGAAAAAAAGGAATATGGGAAGAGTATTGAACTTGCCAAGAGAACAAACTGGTTTGTCCTGTTAAACAAGCTGCTCCTTGGAGGCAAGAGTTTTGAAGCTCCATCTGAAATACTTTGGGCATGTTGCCAAGAGGGAACAGTCCTTGGAGAAGGACATCATGCTTGGAAGGGTGGAGGGAGAACACAGGAGAGGAAGACCCTGATGAGGCCAATAACTAGAAATAATGAGGGTAGCTGTGTCAGAGACAGTGAGATTGACTCAGAATAGGACAGAGTTCAGAACTATTGTGCATAGGGTCACTATGAGTTTCAGGTGACTTAACAGCACACAACAACAACCATCACCACAAAAAAATATATTAGTGCAAAAAATATGTAATAAGATGTTCATCTCAGGTCATTAATCCTATTCAGCTTTCTAAGTTGTGTAAAATTCAGTTCTTAAAAGAACATCAAACTCAACCCTTAGACCTCAAATTTCATTTAGATTCTATCCATCATCTTAAACTATTTTTCCTTCTTTAGAATAAAATTTAACCATTTTCCATCTTTTACCACATTTTAAGAACTATTTTTTATAAATTTGTACTGGTTGTGTGAAGTGGTTCTTCTGTATTTAAATTTAAATTGTCTCTATCAGTCCTGAAGATTTATCCTCTCTTTTTGCTATGCCAAGGTATGCTTTTCTCTCAGTCCACCATTCAAATAGTAGTCTAGCAATAGTAGTATCTATTCAGTCTAGCAAATGCTTATCTGAACAGCTGTGGTCTTTAGAAGTGCCTTTCCTCTTTGGCTGGCTGTAGCCCCTAATGTTGCCTCACTTCCCCATGCATCACTGGTTTTCAGGCTCACAGTTTCCCTGGCGGTTCTTTTCCAAGTAGTTTGTTGCTTGTCTGTAGGGAGTATGCACAACTTTATTTTCATTTAAGTACCATATGCAGGTTCCAGGACTTTCTCCACTGTAGAGTCTACCCTCTAAAACTCTTACTCAGTGACCCTGAACTTCACCATCCATGTCCTCAGATGACCTTCAGAGTGAAGTCTCTGTGTAGATTGTCCCCTGTCGTCACTGCAATCCAGAAAGTGCTTCCCAGCAGAAAGCCTGCATAATTTTGTATTTTATCTTATTTGCTTTTCTTCTCTCAGGGATTCCAATTCTGTGTCACCTGTTTTCAAAGCTTTGAAAAGTTGTTTCCTGTATTTTGTGAGGTAATTTTTGTCCATTATAATGTGGGTTTATTAGAAATTGATTTTTCAGCTGTAAAATAACCATACATACCTGGGAGAAATCTTATTCACATTTTCTGTGCAGCTGAATTTGCTTTCTGGTACTTACGAGAGCTTTTGCATCTACTTTTATAAGAAATACTCTTCCTCAATTTTCTTGTTTGTTTGCTTTTGGTATCAGGAGAAATTATTCCATAGGATGATTCAGGAAGTAATCCCAAATCTTCTATACTTTGGAAGAGTTTGTAAACAATTGGTATTAATATTTCTTCAAATAGTTGGTAGAATTGACCAGTGAAGCTATCCTGGACTATGCCTACATTTTATAAGTGTTTCCTAGACCCCACATCTCAGAGCTACACTTTTTTCCTAGACTCTGGTATGTGTTCAGTATTAGTTTCCTAATACTATTGATGTGCCACATGATTTTAATGTTAGGTACCTCTTGGTCTTGCATGTTGACTAGTAACAGGTGAAACACATGGTACATCTCATATCATTTTCAGTTATTGCTCACGTTCACTCACTGTCATTTATTTTTTCTTTGCAATAAAAATTCTTCTATTTTTTTCATTTCAATCAGTAATTGCTTTATAGACAAGGTGTCTCTTAATTTCATAGTTATTTAATGCTTCCTTTGCCAGAATATCCTGTACTGCCTGACTTTGGCTATTATATTCATAGTAATTAATTGAATATTTTTTTCTTAATATATTAGTCTCCATACTTTGGCCTCTTTCTTACCACATCAGTTTCTCATGTGATGGCGCATATGACTATGGAACTTCCTGATGTTTCTCACAACATACTTTTCACTTAGCACCTTTATTTCTTATTACATCTTTTTTTTTTGTACCAAGTCAATACATAAAGCACTATTTCATTGTTGGTCTTAATGTCTGTTCTTGTCTGGAAATTCTTGAAAAAGAGCTCAGTAATGTGTTATGTATAAGAGAGAAACAGGGTCATATATACAAGTAAATGAATGTAGAATTTTTATGTCATATAACAACATTTCCTTTGAGTAGACAAGGAGAAGTAAGAGTATACAACCTTAGAATGGTTTCCTTGCTACCTGTGCTTTCAAAGTAAGAAGCGTAGAACTTTGACTTCTTATGGCAACTTACAGAAAGATTGTGGCAGGGTAGATTACCCAATGTCCTCCCATGGACTGTCAAGAGAACAAACAGAGCTGTCTTGGAGAGAGTGCTCCTTGGAGGCAAGGATGGTGAAACTTTATCTCACACACTTCAGGCATGTTGTTAGGAGGGCCCAGTCCTTAGAGAAGAACATATACTATGCTTGGGAAATTGGAGGGTCAGTGTAAGTGAGGGAAACCTGCAACAAGATGGCCATGGTGGCGGAGATGGTGAGGATGGCACAGGAAGGGCAGGGTTCAGATCTGCCGTCCATAGGATTGCTGTGAGTTGTAGTCAACTTGATGGCACATAACAATAGTGTAGCTTAATTTTACAGATGTTTCCACTTGTTGTCTCAGCTCACTATGCAAGTCAGGTTCTTGATAACAAAGACACTCCTTTTGATAACTTGTTTTCTCACTGAAACTTTTTCATTGACTTTGGCTCTTTTGTGCATGGCTTTGTTCTTTGGACGAGCTTTCTATTAGCATCTTGTCTGGACATTGTGAAGTCCTCAAGGTGATATGGGAGAATCTTTATACCTATAAGCTAGACTTACTGACATCAAAACAAATGCCCAGTACATCGATAAGATTCTTGCCCTACATTTTATTTCCTAAATATATAATAAATATACATGTATTCAAATGGGAAAGAAATTGAGACAAATTAATTGGATATTTACACATGATAACATGTTTAGAAGTAATTTTAGAAGCATTCCTGCTTAATATATGCATTTTAGAGTTGTAGCTAAAGTTGACTTTCAGAGCTATTTATTGTTTAGAATAATTCTCCTGCTTCCCAAATATTTCTGTATTTTAAAAACACAGGGGTAGGGGAGAGGAAAGTGTGCATGAATGAATGTATGAAACCAATCTTTGTAAATCTTCACAAAAACAAACAAAACCTTCAAAACCCACAGGGTTATCTCTTTACTAAATCATACGTTCTTTTATCTCATTCAGTATTTGCGACCAGCTCTTCTTAAAATAAATGAATTGTGCTATCAGTTGAGTTTTATGAAACTTTTTCATATTGAAAGAGGGCATACCTACACCCTGAAGGAATTTAAGGCTGCACAAGTTGTAAAACTAGGGGAGGTAAGGAATTTTTGTCTGTAAGATTTAAGACTCCCTCCCCCACCACTGTTACTACCTCAGTGTGTTAATGATACCTATTCATCAATGTCTAGGTGACCAATCGCCTAGAAGAATTTCGAAATGAAGCAAAAGACGTGGTCAGGAAGGCTTGCCGAATGGCCCTGCATGCCGTGGGATTTGTTCCTGATGACTGCACATTAGAACCTAGTTCAAGTATGAAGGGAGAGGGAGTCCCGTAGATAGAAGTGGTGGTTTCCTGAAAGAGGAGCTTTTCAAATTCTACTTTTTATAAGTTGGAATATTGATCTACTTTTTCAGTTCTTCCAAAATTTTGCTTGACATGTTACAAATTTAGTGTGCATTGTGGGGACAAACATTGCTTTTTTTCTTGCATTACTTGTACATGTACTAATATTTCTAAACTGGCTCTAATTTGAGCACAAAACCTTGTTTCATAAACATTTATAAACATTTGTAGTGGACTCATAGCCTCTGCTTAAAGGTATGCCTAGTCTCTCAGTAGAGATAATTGTTGATGTTACATGCTGAATCTCTAGCATATTTTCAAAGGCAGTAAAATGCATGAGAGATTGCCCATCTTTCACTCACAGAGTAACTGATGTAGGGTGGCAGGGCAGCTCTTGATCACTAAGCCACCAGAAGTCCCTAGGAGAAGACAATTGCTATGGTTGTGTACTACAGAGTTAGAATGCACCCACAGCTGACCTCCAGTAGGTTTTCAGATACCGTTAATCTCACAGGAAGAGATTGTCCATCTTTCTCCCGCAGAGCTATTGGTGGATTAAAACTGTGTACCTTTAACAGCTTGCTTGGTTCCGCAGTCAACACTCTTAGCACCAGCAGTCAAGAAATCAAAATACAAATTACAATGGGAAAATTTACTGTCAGGGACTTCTCCAGAATGTTGAAGAGCAGCAATGCCAGTCTTGAGACTGAGGTGCACCTGATCCAAGCCATGGCCTTTGCAATTACTTGCTATACATCAGAGAGCTGGACAATGACTGAGGATGATACAAGAAGAACCAATGCCTTTGAATTGTGTTGCTGGAGAAGAATATTAAATCTATTATGGACTGCCAAGAGAACAAACCGCTCTGTCCTGGGGAGGGTGAAACTAGGTTGCTCCTTGGAGGCAAGGATTCTGAAGCTCCATCTCACATACTTGAGTATATTGCTAGCAGGGACCAGTCCTTGGAGAAAGTCATCATGCTTGGAAGGGTGGAAAAGAAGATCCTGAATAAGATGAATTTACTTAGTGACTAGAGTAGTGGGATGGATATGTTGGAAACAATGAGATTAATTCAAGATTGGACAGGGTTCAGAGCTATTGTACATACCACCACCACCTTTCTTTGGCAGCTCAATTCCATACCACTAAGCTACCAGAGCTCCCCAATAGAGATAATAAGTTTGCTAAAATTAAGGAACTAGAAAGGTCTGGTGGCTTAGTCTGAAAGGCAACACCTCTTGGTGGATGGACTCCACCAGCAGCTCCTCAGGAGAAGGATGGGCATTCTCCTCCCATGCAGTTTACACGCTCTCAAAAACCCACTGGAAGGCCAGTTATGAGTTGGCTCTGACTCAATAGCAGTGAATGAGATAGATCACAGGCTTGGCCCTAGTTGAACATGAGTTCTAGAAGATGACTCAATGCATGTGGAAAAGGGGCTAGTGGTATTTCCAGGAAAGAGGAGTGGAGTGGTATGTGTCTACAGATCAAACCCTCTCAAAAGAAAATTCATTATCCATAATTTTTCCTTGCGTTGAAATATTTTTCCTTTCTTTTTTTAAAAATATTTTTATTTATTTATTTTTCATTT